AGTAGGGCGGCGAGGCCGCGACGTAGGGCGGCGGGGCCGTCGAAGTAGGGCGGCGGGGCCGCGACGTAGGGCGGCGGGGCCGTCGAAGTAGGGCGGCGGGGCCGCGACGTAGGGCGGCGGCGCCGTCGAAGGGTAGGGCGGCGGGGCCGAGACGTAGGGTAGGGCGGCAGGGCCGCGACGTAGGGCGGCGGGGCCGTCGAAGTAGGGCGGCGGGGCCGCGACTTAGAGCGGCGGCGCCGTCGAAGGGTAGGGCGGCGGGGCCGCGACGTAGGGCGGCGGGGCCGCTAGAGTAGGGCGGCGGGGCCGCGACCGAAAGGCGGCGCGACGGGCCGCTGGGAGGGGGGGGAGGGCGACACTACAGGTCGCTAAAAAAAAAAAAAAACGCGCGCCTCGGGGCGCGCTTCGGTGGGCCCAAGAAACAGTCCCTGGGAGGGGACCTGCTCTGATTCCATGTGAGAATGAGAATGAGAATGAATGAACTATAAATGAAGTGGGTACAAGTACTAACCCTAATTGGGTTGTACCCCCTATGGGATACCCCACTATAGCCTACACAAAAGCATAAGCTATAATGATCTGACACGCGCCCCGGCCCTACTTAGTCGGACTGGAGAGATCACTCCCTGCTAGGCCACTGCAATCATGGCTACCCCCAGTGTCCTTTTCTTTGATGCTGAGGGTCGTGCTACTGAATTTGAGGTCTGGGTCGATGATCTCCAGCTGTTCCTACAGTGCGATAGGGCAGACAGACTCTCCCTGCTCGATCTCACCTCTGGTGCCTCTCTTGCCCCGCCTTCTATTGCTGACAGCACTGTTCACTCAATGTGGGCCACACGCGATGCTGCTGCCCGCCTTGCTGTGCGTCGCCACTTACCGACCACTGAGCGTGCGCACTTTAGCCAGTACAAGAGTGCTAAGACCTTGTACGGCGCTGTAGTTGCACACTACTCCTCCCCTGCCACTGCTGCGCTTAGCCGCCTCATGCTGCCGTACCTGTTCCCTAACCTTACTGCCTTTCCCACAGTCGCTGACCTCATTACGCACCTTCGCACTAGTGACACTCGCTACCGCGCTGCGCTTCCTGCTGAGTTCTGTGCCAAGAACCCCCCCCCCCATGTACATCACCCTCTACTACATAGTCACCCGGCTCCCAGACTCCCTTCGCTTAGTCAGGGACCACTTCCTCTCAGTTTGCCCCACCACACTCACCGTTGACCTCCTCGAGGAGCGCCTCCTAGCAGCAGAGAAGAGCATAGTCGCAATAGGAGCCTCTCGTGGTGACCCTCGCACCCCCGTCTTTGAGGGGTGTTCCCCCTCCCCCCTCTTGCCCTCTGTTGCTTCTGCTGCTGCGGCCGACCTCGTTGGTTTCGAGTCGGTTGGCGCTGGGTCTGTCCCTAGCGGGAGACGCCGCACTGGCAAGGGCAAGGGGGGCAAGGGCGCTGGAGGGGCTGGCGGGGGCGGTGGAGGTGGTGGTGGAGGCAGTGGAGGGGGTGGGGTTGGTGGTGGGAGTGGTGGCAGGGGTGGAGGTGTCGGTGGCAGCAGTGGAGGCGGAGGAGGCGGCGATGGTGGCGGAGGGAGCGGAGGCGGCGGAGGTGGCGGAGGCGGCGGAGGTGGCGGAGGCGGCGGCGGCAGCAGTGGAGCTGGTCGCGGCTCTGCGCAGAGGAGTGGCTCCGGTGGTGGTCCGCGCCAGCAGCAGCAGCGCAGTCGTGAGACCATGTCCCCTCAGCAGCTTCGTGAGTGGTACGTTGCGCGTCAGCGCGGTGGGGGTACTGGTCCCTGCACCTACGTCCTCCGTACCGGCGACCGCGCTGGTGAGCAGTGCGGGGGCCCGCACTCCACCCAGCGCTGCTTCGGCCGCCTGACGGACGCCTGGCGTCACCAGTTCCCTGAGGCCTCTGAGATCCCTCGCTGGGGAGAGCTGTCTAGGGCGGGGGTTGCTATCTTTGATCTTTGATGCTATTCTTGCTGCCATGTATGCTGTGTCTGATAGTGTTGAGGGTGACTGTTACTTGTGTGTTCCGCCTGACCCGGGCATTAAGGCTGCTGCTCTAGGTGCTCGTGAGGCTGCTGGTCTAGGTGCTAGTGCGTCTGCTGCCCCAGGTGCTGGTGAGTCTGCTCTCTCAAGTACTACGTCGGCTCAGGCCTTACACACCTTCACCCTTGACTCGGGTGCTTCCCGCTCCTTCTTTCGAGACCGCACCACGCTTACGCCGCTTAGTCGGCCCGTTGCAGTCTCCCAGGCGGACCCCTCTGGGGGTCTTGTCCTTGCTAGCTTCTCCACTATCTTACCGTGCCCGGCAGCCCCCTCTGGCACCCTGTCAGGTCTCTACCTCCCCTCGTTCTCTACGAACTTGGTGAGTGGAGCTGATCTACAGGATAGGGGGGTTGACCAGTTCACTCCTGCGAGTCAGCGGGTGACCCACTGCACGTGTGCTCGCACAGGCCGACACTTGGCCACGTTCACCCGTCGGCCGGGGTCGAGCCTGTACACACTTACTACTGAGTCTCCTCCGGCTGCTGAGTCTGGTCAGGTAGCTGCGTCGAGTCAGGTGTTTGCTGCAGCGTCCAGGTCTGGTCCTGAGTCTGCTCCCTGCTCGTGTCGTCTCCTGTCCCACCAGACTCTCCTTTGGCACCACCGCCTTGGTCACCCCTCCCTGCCTCGTCTCCGAGGCATGGCCTCCCGTGTCCTTGTCTCTGGTCTCCCCCGGTCTCTCCCTCCCCTACCTCCGGGGCCTGCCCCTACCTGCGTCCCCTGCGTCGAGGGGCGACAGCGCGCCGCCCCTCACTCCTCCGAGTTTCCTCCGACAGAGGCTCCGTTGCAGACTCTTCACATGGACGTGTGGGGCCCCGCCCGCGTCCGTGGCCACGGGCACGAGCGTTACTTCCTGTTGGTGGTTGACGACTACTCGCGTTACACCACGGTGTTCCCCTTGCGCAGCAAGGGTGACGTCACTGAGGTGTTGATCGACTGGATCCGCGCAACTCGTCTCCAGCTCAGAGAGAGTTTCGCCTTGGACTTTCCTGTTCTGCGTCTGCACTCTGATAGAGGCGGGGAGTTTTCCTCTGCCCGTCTGGGAGCCTTCTGTCGAGCACAGGGCATCCGCCAGACCTTCACACTTCCGACCTCTCCACAGCAAAATGGGATGGATGAGCGCCGCAATGGCATGGTCATGGACGTCGCTCGTACGTCCGTGATCCATGCGGCTGCCCCCCATTTTCTGTGGCCGTTTGCGGTTCAGTACGCAGCGCATCAGCTCAACCTCCAGCCCCGGGTCTCCTTGCCCGAGACCTCCCCCACCTTGCGGTGGACGGGGAAGGTTGGCGATGCGTCTGCGTTTCGGGTCTGGGGATCTCGGGCGTTTGTCCGCGACTTGTCTGCGGACAAGCTGTCCACCCGTGCTGTTCCCTGCGTCTTCCTTGGCTTCCCCCCTGACGCACATGGGTGGCAGTTTTACCACCCCACCTCGCGCCGTGTTCTGTCCTCCCAGGACGTCACCTTTGACGAGTCGGTGCCTTACTACCGTCTCTTCCCCTACCGCACTGCGCCCATCCCCCCGCCGCCGCTCTTCCTTGCGCCAGGTCCTCCCCCGGTAGACCCCCTCCCCCCTCAGGGTCCTGCCCCGTCAGGTGTGTCCCAGGTAGACGCAGTCGAGCCTATCAAGGTAGCTTTTGACTCTGGTGCTGCTAGAGGTGCTGAGCTTGCGGGTACCGGGTCTGGAGGTGCTGAGCCTGGGGGTGAGGAGCCTGGGGGTGCTGAGTCTAGGGGAGCGGAGCCTGGGGGTGCTGAGCCTGGGGGTGCTGAGTCTGGGGGTGCTGAGTCTGGGGGTGCTGAGTTTGGGGGTGTTGAGCCTGGGGGTGCGGAGCCTGGGGGTGCGGAGCCTGGGGGTGCTGGGTCTGCTCGTGTGGCCTCTGGCGGTGCTTCGTCGAGACGGGAGCCACTCTCTCCGCAGGAGCTGCGCGAGTGGTTTGCCCGGCGCTGGAGCCGTGCTGCTGGAGCCGGAGGTACTCGTACTGGCGGTGCTGGAGCTGCTGGGACTGGGGGTGCTGCTGGAGCTGCTGGAGTTGGTCCTGCTGGAGGTACTACTGGAGCTGCTGGCGGTACTGGAGCTGCCGGTCCTGCTGGAGCTGGAGCTGCTGGAGCTGGAGCTACTGGGGGTGTTGGAGCTGGAGGTGCTGCTGGCGCTGGTACTGCCGCTGGGGGTACTGGTGCTGTCCCTTCTGGTTCTGGAGGCGCTGCGCGGCCGAGGCCGTACTTCGTTCCGCTCCTGGAGCAGGTTCTTGGTCTCCCGCCCTCTACTGGTCCTGCTCCTCCCTTAGAGTGTCCACAGCCTGTCCAGTCCCAGTAACAGTTACAGCCCGCCTCCCCTCTACCTGCTCGTTCTCCCTACACTGGTCCTACTGGAGGTCTTGCTGAGCGTCGTGAGCCTGCGTCTCGTCCTGCGTCGCAGGTTCGTGCTGTTCGCACTAGTGGTCGTGCTCCGCGTCCGCGTCCTCTTGTGGTCCCCGGTACACACCACATGGCACTGTGTCCTTCCACTGCCCCTCTGCGTGTCCCGTTGCCGTCTCCTCCAGAGTCCTCTCTTCCTACTCTTGCTGATCCGGAATCTGACTCTCTTCGTGCTGCCAGTCCTACTGTCACACGTCTCCTGGCTACTGTTGTCACTGACCCTTCTTTTGAGTCCACTGCTGCGTCTGCCTTAGTTGCTGAGCTTGTCGACTTTGCTGCTCGCTGTCGTCTAGACTACGCTGCTTGTCTTGTTGCTGAGTCTGAGTCTGTCTGTCCTCCGTCCGTCGGGGGTGAGTGTGCTGCTAGCACGGACGTCCTTGAGGACAGGCAGGAGGAGTTCCAGTGTTTTGCTGCCGCTTTGCCTCATCTCGTGTCCACACTGATTGCCCCTGAGGGAGACCCGGATGTACCAGACATCCCGACTCCGCGATCGTACGCTGAGGCGATCGAGGGTCCCTACTCCTCACAGTGGCAGGCAGCTATGGACACAGAGATGGCTTCCTGGAAGTCCACAGGCACCTACGTTGACGAGGTTCCCCTGCCTGGGGCGAACATCGTCAGTGGCATGTGGATCTTCAGGGTGAAGCGGCCGTCGGGTTCTCCGCCTGTCTTCAAGGCGCGTTACGTGGCTCGTGGTTTCAGTCAGCGGCAGGGAGTTGACTACTTTCAGACCTTCTCTCCCACCCCGAAGATGACCACTCTTCGGGTGCTGTCGCACATAGCCGCTCAGCGCGACTACGAGCTCCACTCTCTTGACTTCAGCACAGCTTTCCTGCAGGGCAGCCTGCACGAGGAGATCTGGTTGCGCCGCCCACCTGGCTTCACTGGGTCGTTTCCTCCTGATACCCAGTGGAGCCTCCGGCGGCCAGTCTACGGTCTCCGCCAGGCGCCCCGTGAGTGGCACGACACACTGAGGACTACACTTGCGGCTCTTGGGTTTGCTCCTTCTACAGCCGACCCGTCGCTGTTTCTGCGCACCGACTCCTCTTTGCCGCCGTTCTACATCCTCGTGTACGTCGACGACTTGGTCTTTGCCACTACTAACACTCCTAGACTCGCCCACGTGAAGTCCGAGCTGCAGAAGAGACACACGTGCACAGACCTGGGTGAACTGCGCAGCTACCTTGGCTTGCAGATCACCCGGGACAGAGCACAGCGCACCATTACCCTGACTCAGTCACACATGGTGCAGCAGGTCCTTCAGCGCTTCGACTTCACGTACTCCTCGCCTCAGGCCACTCCTCTCTCTACTCGCCACTCGGTCTCAGTTCTGCCTTCGGATGAGTCCGTAGAGCCGAGTGGCCCGTACCCAAAGCTTGTTGGCTGCCTCATGTACTTGATGACCTGCACACGACCTGACCTTGCATACCCTTTCAGCATCTTAGCACGCTATGTTGGTCCTGGGAGACACCGACCAGAGCACATGGCTGCAGCGAAGAGGGTGTTGCGCTACTTGTGCAGTACGTCGGGCATGGGGCTAGTGCTTGGAGGGTGACGTGGAGTGGTCCTCACAGGTCACGCAGACGCTTCTTGGGCTGACGACCAGGCTACGCAGCGGTCGTCACAGGGTTACACCTTTAGCCTTGGCTCCGGCTCTGTTTCGTGGCGGTCTACCCGCGCGTCTTCTGTTCTCGGCTCCAGCTGTGAGGCTGAGATCTACGCGGGGGCCATGGCTGCACAGGAGCTACGCTGGCTCACCTACCTGCTGACTGACCTAGGAGAGCCGCCTCGTTCTCCTCCAGTTCTGTACGTAGACAACAAGGCCATGCTGGCCTTGTGTCGGGAGCACAAACTGGAGCACAGAACGAAGCACATTGCTCTCCGCTACTTCCTTGCTCGTGAGCTGCAGCAGCGTGGTCAGCTGCGCCTTACTTACGTGGCCTCTCAGGCCAACACTGCTGATATCTTTACCAAGGCACTTCCGCCTGGTGATCATCAGCGCTTTTGTACTATGCTAGGTCTTGTGCCTACTTGGCCTCACTTGCTCACTTCTTGACCTTGCTTGTACTGTGATCTTTCTATACCTGCACTTGCCTGTTTACTTTTATATATGATCTTGCATGTGAACTGGCCTTGTGGCCTTGCTCTTGTGCTCGGATTGTGTGGTGACGTTGTGATCCACCCTGAGCTTGCTTTACTTTGCTTGACTGGTCTTGTGACCTCTAAATCTCCCCCACTTTGCCTATGGGGGTGTGTCAAACATATATGCTATGGTCTATCTAGGCTGTAGTGGGGTAGACACTATAGGGTACAACATTTATAGGTTTCCTACTTGTACCCACATTCTGCCTAATCAACTCATTCCTCATTCTTCACAGTTTTTATCATCTCAAGCATTTACATTCACTCTGCTATTGAGGTCAAGGGCCCACCACCATTAGACTAGAAGTGTGCGAACCTTCATAAGGAGATCCTGGTTACGATCACTTCCTGTTCGCAACAGCGAGAACATATTGGTTGCTACATACCGTTTTCAATCTGTATGCTAGACTATATTATATATTAAAAAAAAATCTTCCTTACCTTATGTAAGGTAAAAAAAATATATATGGAATTAATCCAAAGAAAACGTTTCGCTCTTCAAACACCCTTGTATCTTCATGAAAATTTACCTCAACACACATGCGGACAAGATTGAGGAAAGATTCACTAAGTTGGCCCAATGATCCAATGGCACATACTTAACTATTTGGTACACTCACCACAGGAGAGGGAACGCCTGGCTGAAAATGACAAGAAAATCTGCGTCAAGCGAGGAGTGGCGAGGAACTGCTAAGAGTAGCTAGAAATGGTGGGAAACCCTAATATGCGCCAGGGAATGCTGATGGAGAGGGAGTGGATGCTGATGGAGATGCCAGAGGCCAGGGCTGATTTTATCAAGGTAATTATCCTGATTTCAGTGTGATTTCAGACTTTTCACATTCTGGTCCCTGCAATTTCAGTTTTAATGACTTCTGAACACTGATCCTGTCAGATTAGTACTTTAGGGAACACTGAAATTTTGTAAACACTCACAGAGTAGTGTTCTTATGGACCCAGTCAGTACAGAGTAAGCGTCTTGTGGACCTTGAATGCAACGTTATCGAGACGAAGCTTCGAGGAATCTTCGTCCCGATAACCCCACATGTGCGTAATCATATTTACGCTTGCACACATTGCACGGACCCCGTGGGCGCGAACCAGGTTATCGCAGTACACTGTGACAAAATTAGAAGAAAGAAAGAGGGTTGAACTAGCAGGAATGAGGATACAAATAGCAAAACCCTGGAAGGGTTGTACTCGCTATAGAGCACCCCACTACAGGCTAGAACATAAGATAATATTCTGACACACCCCCATAGCCAAAGTGGGGTGTAATCAGCAGAGCAAGCAAAGCAGTACAAGCTCAGGGTGGATCACAATGTCACCACACATTCTGAGCACAAGTTCAAGAAGAAATAGTTTAGAGTTCACAATTATGAGCAAAGCTAGTGGTAGTCACAACGGGCAAGTGAGGAGGAGGAGAGAGAGTGAGAGGAGAGGAGATAGAAGGCGGCGGCTGAAGCTGCAGACACACGGGCAACAGGAGTGGCGAGCACAGTGGCTACCGGACTAAGCGCCCGGACTACAGGAGCAACAGGCCCCGCGGCTTAAACAGCGGCAGACGGGCAACGGACCCACAGTCGACTGGCGCAGCGACAAGCTCACTGGGCTACCGGGACAACGCCTCGCACTACAGGTGCTGCGGACAACAAGCTGGCAGCCTCCACTCAACCTCCCGCAGACAGTCCCACCCCCCTGATACACACCCACTGCTACACCGCTAGCTCCACTCCCACGCACCCCTCTTAAACCCTAAACCCAGTCTCCCACACATCCACCCCCCTCAGCGACAGCTGCAGTAGTGGGAGACGAAGGAGGAGGAGGAGCAAAGGGAGGAATGCACACCGGCCACCCCCATACCCGCCACCCCATAGCTCGCCCCGGAAAAGGGGGGGAGGGGGGGGGGGGGGGGGGGGGGGGGGGGCGCGACGAGTAGGGCGACGGGCCGCGAAGGAAAGCGGCGGGGCCGCGATGATGGGGCGGCGGGGCCGCGACAGGTCGGTGGCGGGGCCGCGACAGAAGGTGGCGCGGCCGCGACCGGAGGTGGCGGGGCCGCGCCAGAAGGTGGCGCGGCCGCGACCGGAGGTGGCGGGGCCGCGACAGGTCGGTGGCGGGGCCGCGATGGTGGGGCGGCGGGGCCGCGACAGGTCGGTGGCGGGGCCGCGATGGTGGGGCGGCGGGGCCGCGACGGGTCCCCGTCGCCCGTCGCGGCGCCTCCAGAGGGCGACGCGGCGAACGGCGGGGCAGAAGCCCGCCGCGCGCCTCGGGGCGCACAGCGGGCAGAGAACCGCCGCGCGCCTCGGGGCGCACGGCGGGCAGAAAACCGCCGCGCGCCTCGGGGCGCACGGCGGGCAGAAAACCGCCATGCGCCTCGGGGCGCACGGCGGGAAGAAAAAATGGTAGCGGAAGCGTGGAGGTGGTAACCCACCCACAGGATCGATCCAAGGGGATCGACCTGCTCTGATAGCATGACAAAATTAGAAGAAAGAAAGAGGGTTGAACTAGCAGGAATGAGGATACAAATAGCAAAACCCTAGAAGGGTTGTACTCGCTATAGAGCACCCCACTACAGGCTAGAACATAAGATAATATTCTGACACACTGTGTTTTGTTTACAATCACTAGTTGTGGTTTCTGATCTGTGTTGAGCAGTAAACTTAAACCGAGAAACAAATCGCCACCTGGCGGATCGCAGAGTGATTCGATAGGACATAACAAAACAAAACCATCCATAGTGAAATACCATATTGCCATGTGACTGATTGTTTTTAGTAATCAGCTAATATTTCTCGTTAACTTACGAAAAAAAACATGTGCAAGTGAAAATACTAAGTGAAATAAACGAAAAACTAATATTGAAAAACGCCTTTCCCCACCAAAACCAGATCAAGTCTCGACACCCCTCTCATGAGCAGCCTGTCCACCCATTTCCTCCCCCCCTTCTCCCCTTTCTCTTGCGGGGACGACCCGCAGTCACGAAATAGCCCCACGCCAATCACTTGGTTGAGAAAAGAGAACGAGGATAAAATGACTATGGGAAAGTTGGGTACAAGTACAAACCCCGGAAAGCTGTACCCCATATGTGCTACCCCACTATAGCCTACAGTAGCTATGTCATATAAATCTGACACACCCCCATAGGCAAAGTGGGGGAGAACAAGGGGTCAGAAGACCAGTCAAGCAAAGAAAAGCAAGCTCAGGGTGGATCACAAAGTCACCACACATTCCGAGCACAAGTTCAAGGCCACAAGGCCAGTTCACATGCAGGATTACATATATATATAAGGCTAGACAAGCAAGAGAAGGAGTATATATATATGCAACAGTACAAACAAGGTCAAAGGGTGAGCAAGTGAGGCAAGGAAGGCACAAGACCCAACTGAGTACAGAAGCGCTGATGATCACAAGGCGCAAGTGCCTTGTTGAAGATATCAGCAGTGTTCGCCTCAGAGGCCACGTACGCAAGGCGCAGCTGACCACGCTGCTGTAGCTCACGAGCAAGGAAGTAGCGGAGAGCAATGTGCTTCGTTCTGTGCTCCAGTCTCTGCTCTCGACACAAGGCCAGCATGGCCTTGTTGTCTACGTACAGCACTGGAGGAGAACGAGGCGGCTCTCCGAGGTCAGTCAGCAGGTAGGTGAGCCAGCGAAGCTCTTGTGCAGCCATGGCCCCGGCGTAGATCTCAGCCTCACAACTGGAGCCGAGAACAGAAGACGAGCGAGTAGCCCGCCACGAAACAGAGCCGGAACCAAGGCTGAAGGTGTAACCCTGTGACGACCGCTGCGTAGCCTGGTCGTCAGCCCAAGAAGCGTCTGCGTGCCCAGTGAGGACCACTGGACTCTGCCCTCCAAGCACAAGCCCCATGCCCGACGTACTGCACAAGTAGCGCAACACCCTCTTCGCTGCAGCCATGTGCTCCGGTATGTGTCTCCCAGGAGCAACATAGCGTGCGAGAATGCTAAGAGGGTATGCAAGGTCAGGTCGTGTGCAGGTCATCAGGTACATGAGGCAGCCAACAAGCTCTGGGTACGGGCCACTCGACTCTACGGACTCATCCGAAGGCAGAGCTGAGAGCGAGTGGCGAGTAGGCAGAGGAGTGGCCTGAGGCGAGGAGTACGTGAAGCCGAAGCGCTGAAGGACCTGCTGCACCATGTGTGACTGAGTCAGGGCAATGGTGCGGCGTGCTCTGTCCCGGGTGATCTGCAAGCCAAGGTAGCTGCGCAGTTCACCCAGGTCTGTGCACGTGTGTCTCTTCTGCAGCTTGGACTTCACGTGGGCGAGTCCAGCAGTGTAAGCTGTGGCAAAGACCAAGTCGTCTACGTACACGAGGATGTAGAATGGCGGCAAAGAGGTGTCGGTGTGCAGAAACAGCGACGGGTCGGCTGTAGAAGGAGCAAACCCAAGAGCCGCAAGTGTTGTCCTCAGTGTGTCGTGCCACTCACGGGGCGCCTGGCGGAGACCGTAGACTGGCCGCCGGAGGCTCCACTGGGTACCAGGAGGAAAAGACCCAGTGAAGCCAGGTGGGCGACGCAGCCAGATCTCCTCGTGCAGGCTGCCCTGCAAGAAAGCAGTGCTGAAGTCAAGAGAGTGCAGCTCGTAGTCGCGGTGAGCAGCTATGTGCAGCAGTACCCGAAGAGTGGTCATCTTCGGGGTGGGAGAGAAGGTCTGAAAGTAGTCAACTCCCTGCCGCTGACTGAAGCCACGAGCCATGTAACGCACCTTGAAGACAGGCGGAGAACCCGACGGCCGCTTCACCCTGAAAATCCACATGCCACTGACGATGTTCGCCCCAGGCGGGGGAAACTCGTCAACGTAGGTGCCTGTGGACTTCTAGGAAGCCATCTCTGTGTCCATAGCTGCCTGCCACTGAGAGGAGTAGGGACCCTCTATCGCCTCCGCTTAAGAGCGCGGAGTCG